ACCACCGGGTTCAATCTTCACTGCCCCCACTTTCTTTCTAGTGGAATTTATTTGTTCGCACAAGTAGATAGACCTGTGCATTGCCCACCCTTCAAGCCCAGTGGACTCGTGTGAGAGGCGTGAGAGGGCGTGTTGAGATATATAAAACCACTAATGTAACCTCATCCAATAGCTTAAGTTTTTGGGTTGAATTGGTTCTTTACCCCCTATGTTTATTAAGTATAAAATTTCATGCAATTCCCTTCAATTTTAATTGAAGTGTGAATAATTTATTTATTACCTATAAAAATATACCTATTTTTCCCAATTAATCCATTGCATCTGTAAATTGATAAAAATAGATCTTACATGTTGAACTCGGATGATGCTATTAGTTGGTCACTTAGCCAATTTTGGTTATTCGTAATTCTTTTATAAGTTCAACAAGGAAAAAGAATTCAGTGCCTGGCACAAAGTTCTTTGGAAAACTACTTGATCTCAGATTGAATTTTATAGATATCGTTTGGGTCCAATTTAGTCTACGTTCTCTTCGTTTTTTCTGTACCAAGAACCTGTTTGGTATTTTTTTTAAACTAAAAACTACTTTCAAGGTAAAGCTAAAAAAAAAAATTTGAAAAATAAAGCTATAAGTTGTTTGATGATTATACAAAAACAATTAGTTTAAAAGTTATTCATTTCAAAAAAGTACATATTTCAAAAAAAGCTGATACAACTTAAAAAAATTCCTCCAAAGAACTTTTGGCTTTTTTTTTTTATTATTATAAAAAGGGAAGGATTATATTGAGAAACTTTTTTTCTTACAAACTACACTAATTCTAACTAGTCAGACTTCAATTAAGAGTGTATGACTAGTTAGACTTAATGTAGTTTGTTAAAAAAAAAGTTTGTCAATATAACTTTCTCCTATAAAAAAATATCTTTTCATTATAAAAACTTTTGTAAAAAATTATTTGGGCTCGCTTCTACTTATAAAGAGAAAGAGGAGCTAAAAAGCAAAACTTCTCAAATAGGCACCAAAGTTAGACTTTTTTGTTATTAAAATCAATAACCTTTGATATATAATGTAACGAGTCAATTAATTATTTTTTAGGCAATTTTACTGAAAAAACATTAAGAAATGGACTAGTTTATACACAAAAAGAATTACTGTTCATAGTTACATGGACTCTCACGTAGGCTCCTTTAGTTTTGAATTTCTCTTATATATTCATGAACAAGGTTGTATTTATAGAGTGAGGATATTCTAACTACCAAAAATTCTCACTACTAACTTACTACCCATCACATCATCATTCGATCAAAGAGAGAGAGTGTTAAAAAAATTTTGAAGAGAGAGAAAATGTTAATCTAATGGTGATTAGATAGGTAGTAAGTTGGTAGTAAAAAATTTTGGTAGTGAGAATATCCCTCTTCATATTTATAAATTTTTTTTTACAAACTACACTATATACTACGAGTAATACATATTACTTGAGCATGTATTATCCATAGTACATAATATAAATTGTAAAAAAAAAAAAAAATTGTAAATATAACCTATATATCTCTATATTTATTTGTTTGTATAACCTGCGAATGATAGGGTGGCAGTAGTGGTGTAAATCGGCCAGGCGGTTTATCAAGGATTTATGGCTCGACCAATATCAGATCAGGTCTGTTCTATGATGTATGCATTAAATTTGGAACTTTGTTTGAAATGCTAGAAATTGATGCATGGATGAAATGTCTAACTAATCAATCATGTGAGTAAGTAATTTTGAAATTCAATAGTAAGTATAACAAGATGAGTTGGTGACTGGTATGTTCCCAAGTTGAACAATCTACAGTTGGCTGGAAAATAGGAAGGAGCTGCAATGTAGAGTTCTGATAAGGTACTGCTAAAAATCCCAAGTGGTGTGTATAAAGCTTAAAGTGTATAAGAATGAGAGATCTTACTAATTCTTATGAATTTTGCTGCATAAACTGTTGTAATAACATTTAACACAATATAAGTGGTTCAGAATTTGTGTGTAGTTAAAGGTAGTTTTTGTATGGCAAATCTGCAAGATTTGAATACCTCCTGCAGTATTGGGGTTTGAATATATTATTTTATTTTTTATTTTTATTTTTTAGTAAATAGAAAGTTTAAATGGAGTTAGATACCCATATTTCGCTAGGATCAAGAAAGACCCCACAAATGTTTTGAGAATTTTTGGGAAGAATTATATATCACTCACCAACAAAATCCTTACCTCAGCCAGCGGGTTTGAATATATTATTTTGAAATGAATCAATGAGTAAAAATTATATTTAATAAAATCTATCTCAAAAAACAATACCAAAATACAAATTATGCATATAAAATCAATTAAGGAATTATATAAATTACACAACCAAATCTTTTCAATTGGTTTAGATTTTAATATTTAATTAAAATAATTTGTATTTCAAAAAAACTTAAGATCTAATTGTAAGGAGATCACTTTCATTTAAATAAGATCGTGGGATCGACGAGTTTCGTGAATAGAAAAAATAAGTACCTCCTTGGATTAATCACGATTCGAAGTATGTTTTGAATATTTGGAGTTTCGGGTCAAAAGAAATTAAAAAAAAAAAACTAATTAAAATTATTTTTTCAAAATAAATAAGATATATCTGAAAAAATTTATACATATCACACTTAGGGGCGTTTGGTTGAGGAGAAGATTTTATGAATACTAGAGAAATGTGATTACTGGAAAAATCGTTGGAATATGAGTTTGATAGGAAAATGTAAAAAAAGTTGTTTGGTTGGATAAAATTTTGATGGGGAAATTAGGTAACTTTTATAAAGTCTATGTTTAGGTGTAGGTAAAATATAGATGGGAAAAAAGTTATTTTTACGAAAATAACCCTGTTTTATTTTTATTTTTTAATCTATGTGTTTTTTACATTTAAATCAACCCCATTTTATACTCAACTTAAATTAATTAAAAAAATATTATTTAATATTTATAAAAAAAATTCCTACATTTTTTTCTTTTTACTTTTGAATTTCATTTAAATTTAAAAGGCATTATTCCATATGCTAATGAAGCACATGACTAAAAAAAACTTGGCTATTCGCATGCCACGTACAAAAGCTTATCTAGAATGGTGTGAACAATAGTTTTTTTCTGAAAGTGTCCCATTTTTTTAATATTTGAAAGTGTAAACCAACCACCGTCCACCGTCCAACATGAACACTTTTATTCATGTCCATATGTCTCAAATGGTTGTCCCCTTTTAAATATACACTTCCAACTCCCTCAAACCACCGTCCACCGTCCACCGTCCAACAGCCCCAGCCACAGTCAAGACCACCCACACCACCGCTCATCAAATCCACTCGGCCACCTCCTCTCGCCGACACCAACCACCTTCTCCAATCGTTCAACCACCAACACCCTTCGACCCATTCAACAGCCAACCGATCCACAACCCCACGCCACCACCGTCCATCCCCTTTTCTTCACCGATTCAGCCACAGTCCCCACCAGCCAATTGACCACCACACTGAAGCCAACTCCACAAACTCAGCCTTTTCAAAAGGTATAATGGGTGTGAAAAAAGTGTGTCTACAGTGGTTTAGCCGGCTTTTCCTCAGAAACCACCTACAAAGGGGGCGTTTGGTTGCAGTTTTTATTTGAAATACCCAGGCAACTGAGATAGGGAATCGAAGAAGACATCGTTTGGTAGAAGGTTCACCAAAAATATGCCTAGGCAATTGAATACCCAGTCATCCGATTTTGCGTGAAAAATAGGATTGGAAACAGTGTTTTAGATACCCAAATCTGAGATGGTATTTCGCAGTTGCCCGGGAAGGAAAAAAGTAGCGTGAAAAATTTGTCCAAAATGCCCCCTAATGTACTGATGGGTATTATGAAAGTGAACACCATGTTTATGCTTGCAGTGACAAGTTTAACAACCCTTACCCACTGATGGTGGAGGCTTGCTTGTCAATCCCTACTGTCCACAAATCGGCACCGCTCTAATGTATTTGCGTTTCTTTTTGCCAACTTGACTGCCCATTCACAGCAAATGCTCACCGTGCTGGATTTAGGGTCGCAGCATTTGAAAGAGAGACAAGGAGGAAGACGGAGATGTAGACATATGAACGTTTGAAATAATGGCCAGGGATACACATTCAAAAAATTTACAAGGATATTTTCGTAAATTTAAATTTTTTTCCCATCTATATTTTACCTACAATCAAACATAAACTTTATATTTTCTCAGTTAAATTTTTTTCAACCAAACAACTTTTTTTTATATTTTCCTACCAAACTCACTTTCCTATCATTTTCTACCATTTCCCTATCAATATCATTTTCCTATTATTCATAAAATTTCTCCTCAACCAAACGCCCCCAAAAAGTCTTTCTAAACAATGCCAAAAGCTATCATTCTTGGACAAAATTGAAAAAGCAATGCAAATTGGATGGATGGGGATTTTGAGTTAATCTGTTGAACCAAACGTTAGCAAACTAGAAAGCTTCCTTCATTTGCATAGGAAAGTCTTGGAAAGCCGTAAACCAAACGGCCCCTTAAGAATCATTTTATTCACTGGGGAAGTAAAAATAAAAAACAAAAGAATCATATATTCCTCTCTAAGTCAACTTTACAACCTAGAATTGACTTCTTCTTCTTCTTCTTCCCAACAAGAAGTCAAACAAATTTGTTTTTTCTTAATGTGAAACTCAACATAATTGCTTCCAAATGTCCGTATGAGTTTGCAAACCAAACAAGCACTAAATAATAAATAAAATAAAAAAGGATCAAATAAATATACAAATAACCCAAGTAACAACTTCTTTTTCTCGCCCTCACAAGGGCACAACATGTTTATTGAAGAAGTTCTTTAAGTATATGTTTATATAAATATATATATGTTTATATATATCCTCCAAATCATAATTGTCAATTCATACTTGAGGATATTCATATCTGTGTATGTGTTTTTTTTTTTTTCTTTGTTTATGATAATAAAGAGAAAATAATTTCTAACAAGGCTTGCCCACCCTGCAAGCAAGGGCACCAGCAAACCTTGTTAGCCTATTGGCATGAGATCCATCTCTTGGTTTCATCATGAAACCTTTTTTGTATGGCACATTTTTAATAGGTAGCCCTGAAGGAACAAACTTTGCACCATTCATGAACAGATCCATATCTGATGTCCATTGCCAATTCTTCCACACTTCTGGTCCTGCATAGTCTCTATGTGTGATCTCCTTTGCAGCATTGTTAGGAGGAGCAATGAAGCGATTTCCTTGGCTTAGAATGGTTGGCCCTGAGCTACCACCAATTGCATACATTTGCCAGTGAGTGTAGTCATTGTTCACAACATGGACAAAACCCCATCTGCATCTTGGCATCCTCTGAATCAATCCCTGCCCAAAGTGGTTGAATGCCACTGTCACCTGCATAATCTTATCTCCACTGTAGCTATCACTAGCTCCAAACAACATCACCTGCAATTATATATATTTTCATTCATTCATCAAAATATTAGTTAATGCATGTCAAATTAATTAACTTAACATACATGCAAAAGTATTATATAAGAGATAGGATACTAAGACACCAGTGTCAAATTTAAAGTTTGACACCTCATTTGAGAGTCCTTAGATCAAAATAGATCAATGGTATCACATGCTTATAAGTAAGAGTCGTTGATCTTTTTTGATCTAATGGCTCTCAGATGAGGTGTCAATTTTCAAATTTGATATTGATATCAAAAGATCCTACCTCGTTATAATAACATGCAAGAATTAGATGAAGACAAAATGGTATTACAAAATAGTAATTCAAACTAATTACGTACATCGTTATGTTTGGTCATGTGGCAATTTGAGATGGTGATGGCAGTGGAACCTTGTATAACATCAACAAGACCATCCTCGCAATTAGACATGGAAACATGATCAACCCAAATGTTTGTGGAACCATAAATGGAGATGGCATCACCATCACTCCTGGTTCTTAATCCAACATGATTATAAGAGTCCCTCATCATGCCCCCTGGCTTAGATACGACATTCTTAATGCGAAGCCCATGAATGATAACATTGTTCACAAACTGCATGGTGATGCCAGCACCATCCCTAATCTGAACATTAACTCCACGACCATCAATGGTCTTGTCGGAGGAAACCAACAACTCTTGGTTTAACCTTATAATCATGCTACGTTGGAATATGATCCACAATGGACCCTTCTGGGTAACACCAAAACGGAGAGTCCCAGGTTTGGGGCTTATCATGTCGTTATCCGATTCGTCGGTGACGACATAGATGGGGCCACCGAGTCCTCCGGTGGCCCTTCTTCCGAACCCCTTACCACATTTGGCTAACTTAAACCGATTTTTGGCCCAGTTTTGATTGCACCTCCAGCAAGTATCAATGGGGTTGGTGGCTGTGCATGGTCCTTGATATTTCTGCTTTAACTCCCTCCTTGTATTGTTTGATGTCTCATCCAATGCCCTACATTGCATCAAAGTGTAAGAAAATAGTTTGCTTAGCAATGAAGCCAAAAAATTGTCTCAAGGGGCGAGATCGAAAGTGTAATATTCATATTAAGTTATAACTATATATTTAATCAAAAGAACATAAATGATATAATAAGAATTTCAATGGGGCTATCACTTTTTTTTTTTTTTTTTTTTTGTACATAAGAGGGGCTAAAGCCCGAGTGCTCACTCTTTATATGACTAAAAATAACATAAAAGTGTAATATCAAATAATAGTAGTTTAATTGGCGTCAAGGAACTGAATAGGTGGGGTACTGAAAGCATTGTTCGATTCCAGCACCATCTTTGGAAGTAATTTAAAACCTTAATCCTTAATTGCACTTATTGAAAACTTTGAAATTGGATGAATTCTAACCTAATGCTATCATTTTATTATATATATTTTTTCTGAATGAATAAATAGCATGTTGTAATATAGGAAAAGAGATGGTATTGGTATTGTACTTACAAATGAACGTGTAGATTGAGGTCCTCTGTAACCTCTTCAGGAATTGGCACGTAGGACGCAAGAGCAAGTCTATGGGCTTTCTCAGCTTGTACTTTGAGAAAATCATCAAACTCAGCAATGCCAGCTTCAAGGCATGGAATGGTAATGGCGAGAGTAACCAAGAAGATAAAAGTAACCTTACTTGCACTTCCCACCATTATTTTTCCCATGCCCATGACTAGTTTTTTTTCTCTCTCTGAGATTTGGCTGGTTTTCTCTTTCTTTTTTAAAATATATATAATATGTATGTGTTTATATTTATTTTATTTGTTTCCTTTAAAATGGCAAGGTTGCTTAAGGTCTTGGGGAATAGTTAGTTAAAGTTTTAACGTACAAATCAACAAGACCTTGGCAAGCTAGCCTATACCAATTAAAACCAAGCTAATTTTGAACGCAACATGGTGCTTGGTGATGTGAGTTCATAAATGAACATGCTTAAATAAGGATGGTAGTCCTTGAAGGTTGAAGGTTGTGCTTCTAAATTTAGCAACACAAACAGTGTTAGTTTCATCCAAACTTGGTTACAAAAGGTATAACAGATCTCAAATTAAAAAATTGGCTTGAAAAAGAAATGACAACCAATCCTTCCACTTTGCCAATACCTTCTTATAACCATTGACTTGTTTTGTTGCATTATTGTCCAAGTGTATTACAATTTTGTCGTTATTAGTCTTGACTTTTTCAATGTTTGTATATCTACTTATTTGTGGTGTGCTTCCTTGCCATAATAAAGAGTCATACAAAGTTAATACACGAAAACAAAAAACTTTTTGTTTTGGAGATAAAGTTGTGTCATTTTAAGTGAGAGAAAGAAATAGATAAAGGAGGAGAGAGAATGGATAAAAAAATATAAAGGTGTGGATCTTATCTCTTTTTTGTACAAATGTGGGTCTTATCTCTTTGTGAGAATGAAATAACATAAATTGTGTCATTTAAATGGACAAATATTTTTTTCTTATTTTTATTACCAAAAAAATTACTTATATTTACTAGCTCTCTATAGGGTGCATGCATGTTAGTAAGTTTAAAAATAATAATTTAATGATATAATTTATAATTACGTTTTTTTAACTTATTTTAAAAAAACACTGCAACTTTACTTTTTTCCAATAATATTATTACATAAAATGGGAAAAGATAAAAATTTCTCTTGTGGTTTACATTAGAATCTCTTAACCTCCATTTTTTTATCTCTTATTTCCCCTGTGATTTTTTCCATTAAAACCCACCTTTAATGCTGTTAAAAATTTAGTTAATATGTCTATTTCATCCTATGAATAACAAAAAAGAAATCATAAATAAAATAAGTGATTAAAAAAAAAAACAGAAGATAAGTGATTATAGAGGGAAGTACTATAGAAGGTTTGGAATTTTTTTAACTTTTTTTTTTCTCTAGAGTCTAGACAATGTCTATTTCATCCTATGAATAACAAAAAAGAAATCATAAATAAAATACGTGATTAAAAAAAAACAGAAGATAAGTGATTATAGAAGGAAATAATACTATAGAAGGTTTGTTTATTATTATTATTTTCTGTCGAGTCTAGCTAGACAGCAAAAAAATAAAATGCAGAGTCTGGAATAAATTTTCAGATATTTCCTCCTCTTAATTAAATAACCAAAGCTTTAATGTTTCCATGGTAAACATATCAAATTCCAAAGAATTCAACTTCAATTCAACAACCCACTTCTGCACCGGTTAGGTTTTTAAATTATATTTTTCTTTGATATCCCACCGTAATGAAGAAAGGAAACTGAATATCAATTAACCTGTATTAACATGAAGTTGCTCCATCAAGTTTCTCTCCAAACATCTATGGGAGGAAAAATGAAAAGCAAATCTGAAAAAATAAAAAAGCAGCTAAGAACAAAATTACTATTAACTTATCACACGGCAGTGTCAAAAAAAAGTAAATACTCTTTTTGGTACTCAATCCCGTAGAGATGATACATCTTTCGTTGGTAAATTCAATGGTATAATAAATTATGTTTTCATGCTATCAATATCAAATCGTATCAATATCACGAATAAAAATATCCGAGCTATTAAGAAGATATTTCCTCCGTACTATATTAAAAAAAAATTATTTCTGATGCAATAAAAAATTCCCTTTTTTTCTTTGTTCGTCGGAATCTTTACCCAGCAAATTTTACGATATTCGCTTTAGTCCTTAACAAATAAAAAAGCTATTCGTGGATTCTAAAAAATTCAAAATGAACCCGTTTAGTTAAAATCGTGGTCCCTCACAAATTTAAAAAGACCCATATTAGTCCCTCAAAAGGACTAAAATGGGTCCACTTTAAATTTCTCAGGGGCTACGAATAGCCTTTTTATTTGCTAGAGACTAAAAAGAGTATAGTAAAATTTGCTGAGAACCGAAAAGAGTATTTACTCTTCTATTTATTTACAAAAGCAAAACTATGAACAAACTTCATTATTGTGTAGTATTCTTTAAATCTTCCAAACTAACAGGATCAAGATAATCAACTCCACAGTTGTTATTAATTTTTAAATGGGGCAAAATGAACACATCAGATTAATTGTTAACGGATTTAATTATGAACTTAGATGAAAAATAAAAAATCATAGGGAGTTAAGTGATTCTGGCATAACGGCATAAACCACAAGGGAGTTTAACAAACTTTTCTCTAAAATAAATAAATAAATAAATAAACATTTTTTCTTTAAAAAAATACACAAACGGGCCTTATATAAATGGGATAGGATATTGTGACAACCAAATAATATTACTACCAATATTACTACCACATCTTAACCGTTGATTTACGTCGATTAACAGTACGTAACAAATTTAGGGTTACAACAAACTACTCATCAGAATAAATTACTAATTGTCATCTCTTCCTTCTGTTTCAGGGAGAGTGACCATTTTGCCACGTTTGGACAAAAAATTTACCAGATTGTCACGCCAACAGTAAATTTTGCCAAAATGTCACGCGGCATAATTCGCTACACAGTGTAGCGAAATTCGCTACACTGCGTAGCGAATTATGCCGCGTGACATTTTGACAAAATTTACTGTTGGCGTGACAATCTGGTAAATTTTTTGTCCAAACGTGGCACTTTGGTCACTGTTCCTCTGTTTCATCTTCTCAACTTTGCTCTTGTCTGTCAAATCCTACCAATGACAGCGTAACTTTCGGGACAGTAACCAAAATGCCACGCTTTGACAAAAAAATTACTAGAATACCACGTGAACAGTAAAATTTCCAAAACTGCCACGCGGCATAATTTGCTACACAGTGTAGCGAATTATGCATGCAAGTAATTCGCTACACAGTGTAGCGAAATATGCCACGTCAGAATACACAAGATAAAAAGTGCCATGTGTCAGAATTGTTGTAATTCGCTACATAGCGAATTTCAACAATTTTGACACATGACACTTTTTGGTTCTGACGTGGCATATTTTGCTACACTGTGTAGCGAATTATTTGCATGCATAATTCACTATACTGTGTAGCGAATTATGCTGCGTAACAGTTTGAGAAATTTTATTGTTCGCGTTGCGAGAGCGTGTGAAAATGGTCAATATTCCGTAACTTTCTGCGTGGCAAGAGCGGCTTTCCTTCACTTGCTGCGGTCACAGAGCAGTCACCACTTTTCAAAGAACGCTCCTTCAGGTTCTCTTACTCTTCTTATTCTTTCTCTTCCTGTTTCCTGTGGGTTTTCAAAATTACCTTAGAGATCCCTCATTTTGTTTCCCAAAAAAGTTTTAAACTTGGAAGGATCACTTTGTGGATCCTTCGTTTCTATGATATATAACAAGAATCGGGTATTGGGCAATATGGGGTTTTACCATTAATTAAATTTCAAAGTTCGATTCTTTTGGGTACTGAGAAGAATATGGGTGTTCTTGGACAATGTGGGTGTGAGGAATTTAACTTCATAAAGTCAAGTTATTATTTGATGCTTCTTGCTGATGAAAGTGTTACTAGTCTTTTCTGAATTAAAGAAACTGTTAGCGTAGTATCTGAAGTTAGCTTATTTCTTTTGTATCATGATCCTGAAATTTCTTTTTTTCTTCCGGTAAATTTGTTTTTCTACATTTGGCCTGCTAAGGGAGGAAAGAAATGCTCTGCTGGGGTATATTACCTTTGACTAAAGTAATAAATTATATAAGCTTTTCATTTAACCTTGGAAAATGAATGAAACAAGTTAGGGGTTGCTTTCATCAATTTCAATTTTCTTGACAAAGATAATTATGTTAGAAAGAAAAGACCAAAGGTATATAGTACAATTAGTATGAGGATAAGAAAACCTCCAAAGAATAAAGATAACCTGTCAAAACGGGCTAGAGCCCGCGGGTCAGCCCCTCAACCCCAGTTTTCAGCCCCATTTTTTTAATAGGGTTGTTTTTTACCCTAGCCCCACTAAGCCCCATCTTTTTTGTTTTAAATTGATACGGTATTTGTTGATTTCTTTTATTAATTAGGTTCTGCTTCATTACCTTATTAAGAGTAGGCCATCTGTGTAGTTCATCTTGAACTTGTTCATCAGGGGTAGGATCCAAAACTTTGGGGTAAGTTTTTGTGGGACACAGAAATGGGGATGCTGAAGACGGCTTGGGATTACACATGGCTTGGTACAACACTGAAACTGTAATATATGGATATAAAGAAGAGTTTAAGAGATTTTGTATGTATATATATAACAAAGGTAGGAAAATATACGATGCTCTTCTGTCTTAGGTTGAGTGACCGTGTGCTTTGTTTGAAGGAGAAATGGATAACAAGGTTTTGTGTATGGGGAGAAGAGGATGAAGGGGAGTGGGTTTATTTATGCATGAGCATGAAAGGCTTGGGTCCCTTTTGAAACGTGTCTTTGAGAGATGGAAATGCTTAAATTTTATCAATGAAAAGGGCTAATTTGTTATTATTTAAAAAGAAAAAAGATGTCAATGAGTACAATTGATATATGTGATCTATCCGAAAAAGCCTCAAAGCTTCACATATATCACCATGGAGATAAACTAGTTTTTTCACCTCCTCCACACCTAAAACCCCTTGCTTATTCTCTCCTTTGTCCCCTAAATTTTCTTTGATCTCTTCAAGAATCTTGGCTTCCACTAACGGGTGTGTAGCAACAAGCCAGAAGAACCAAGTGAGTGCTGAATTTATGGTATCTCTTCCTGCTACAAAAAGATTGAATGCTGCATCTCTTAGAAACTTGTCATCACGTACTTGTCCCTTTTCCTCTCTCATGATCATAGCTGCTAGCAAGTCATCAAAGATTGAATAATTCCTTGTGGTTGAAAAATGTAGGACAAGTTATATTCTATTGAAATCGAATTGAGATTGAGCTTTATCTTCTTCTTTTTCCATGGTTAGAAATTCTATTCTTCATATAGTGAATTGTTTATTTGGCTGCGTCTTAAATTTAAGGGAATGTTTACTGATTGTTTATCTTCTAGCTTGGTTGCGTCTTAGTGCTGATTGCTGAATATTTAACATATTTTGCATGATTACCATATGCATGATCTATGTGTTTATTTTAGAAAGTTTTGTCGGTAAATGCTTTGTATTATTAACTCTTTCTTTTCTCATTTGCTTGATCTTTGCTTCTAGCTGTTTATGTTACGTAAAGCTAATGAAGGTTGTTGCTCACATTCCTTGTGGATTTAAGTGACAGCGAGGTGTGGCTGAACTAATGCCCGTAAGCTTAGCTTATTGAGTTGTTGATGAATCAAGTAATGATTAGCTTAGTGAGCTAGCTTTTCTCACTTTTTATCTCAGCTACATGTGAGTAAATGCAAACATAACTATCTACTTTGGTCGGTGATATTTTGTATAAATAATGCATTTAAGATTTTGAGTGAAACTTGGATACAACTATGGCAGTCTGTCATGATTATGATGGTAGCTGAGAATTGTCATTTGTCAGTAATATATGATTGTTCTAAAAAATGACCGTATTGTTCCAAAGACAGACTCTTTTCTAATTTGGTATATTCTCTTTTGTGCTTACGGTTACTGCGTCGTCATCTTTTAGAATAGATTTTTTTTTGGGGGGGGTCTTAAATTTGCTTTGCTCTAAATTGTATCTTGGATTTAAAATTTGGTATAATTTTCTTTTGCGAATGAAAGATGGGTTTCTTGGATTGAAAATTTTGGGATTATCAAATGGTAATAAAGAAAGCATAAAGTGAGAGAATATTGACCAAATGCACGAACGGGGAAGCACAAACTCGTGGGATTATCAAAAATTGATTTTTGGCCCGCGGGCTGGCCCTAACCCGTGGGGTTATATAATTTTTTGGCCCGTGCGGGCTGTTTAATATGTGGGCTTTTTGGCCCTGGCCCGTGCGGGTTAGGGCCTAACGGGCCGGGCTGGCCCGTTTTGACGGCTCTAGGTAAGGGTTTTCTCGAATTCCACACACAGTTATTTACATTTTCGTAATGGTTACTATGAACTGTTATTTATGAACGTTGTCATTAAAACGTGTTTCAGATTGATTGTCAGTGATGGAGCACGGTTCGTACTCTGATCAGAGTAAATCTACTTTTTCTCTGGTTGATGAGGATCACACATTTGCAAATTCTGTCAGATTCACCTTAAATCAAGAGTTAGTAATTCTGAAAATTCTTATGTGACTATCTCTGTATTTTCTTACAATTTTGTAATTCGTTCAAATCCAAAGTACAAAGTGCATGCTGCAATATCAATCTTGTGTTTCTTTTTTTATTTCTTATCGTATCATAGAAACATAAATTTAGGGTATCATTATGATGAACAATCAAAAGTTACTTCAATGTAGAAACAATATTAGTATCTATAAAAGAAACATAAAGTGAACTTAATCCTTTTCATGAAACAACAAATAGGTTGACAGATCCCCATCCTCTCCTTTACATCTGTTGGAGAAGGAATAGAAAGTGAGATCATGGCGTAAATCCCTGTTTATATTGATTTCAACCTATAGTTTTATTTGGCAGATAATTGATTAATCCATTTGCATGCTTGTTTACTTGAGTTTGAGCCTTTGTTTGGTGTGCATTTTTGAAGTGAAAAGGAAAGAAAGAAGTCCAAGGATTGAGCCTAACCCTTGTTTGGTATCAATTTAACAGTGGAAATGAAGAAATTTGGAATTTTGGAGTGATTGACTTTTTTTTTTTTTTGACTTCACCCCTAAGTGTCAGTTTTAATTGGTTGTTTCATATTTCTCCCTGTGCCTCTTTTCTTCCTCATCATGCGTTCAGTTCAATACTTCCTGTTGAGATGAGGTTATTAATGTTATTTTGCAGTCCAAGAGTGACATTTTGTGGGTACAGCATTCCTCATCCTTCAGATAATCGTGTTAATATCAGAGTCCAAACAACAGGTAACATTTGAAGTGTCTTTCAACTCTAGCATTTATTATGGTGAATATAGTTTGCAAATTTCTGCCACAAACAAGTGAACAAATACATATGTTGTACTAATGCAACCACAAGTGCATGTACTTATACCATCAATTTCATATTCTGTTTTGCATTATAACGTATCCTGCTAGACCTTTTATTTGCTAGTTTTGGAAGATGACATTCTGGATCTCATGAAACTAAAATTGTTGAAGCAAGTTACACATATCACTAGATCTCATGATACTAAAAAATTTTCTCAATGCTATTCTCTGTTTAACTTGAGATGATGTTTTTATGGACATTATAGGGTGCAGGTAGTGCATCAATAATTCAGGGAAGAAATATTTTATTTAGAAAAAAAAAATTAGGCTAACTCTGGGGTATCCATAAACACCTTTCTAAATCAGATGTTTGCACTAAATTTATTGTTTGTTTGCAATATACTATGATATTGCATGAGTAATTTTCTGTACAATGCGTTGTCACTGTACTTCTGTAGGGGATCCAGCACGAGAAGTGTTAAAAGATGGATGTCAGGATCTGATGATTATGTGCCAGCATGTTAGGAACACTTTTGATAAGGTTGTCGATGATTTTAAAATGACCAAGACTGTGGAGGAGGATATGGGTACCAAATAGTGTCTGTTCTAGACTTCTAGTTATAGTTTTGATATATGTATTGATATTTGATCTGGTTGTGTATTTTTGGGTTGAACTTTGAAGGATGTTTGCATTCTTTTTCTGAGTGTATTTCTATGCTTTAGCGTATCACTCGTTGGTCCTCACAGACCTTAGGTCTCTCGTCTTTTTTTTTGTTTTTTAGATTGTGTATTTTTTTACCCAGAAAAGTTTTAAACTTTGAAATCTTTTTTCTGAACTTGTATACCTTCTTTTCTTGCTTAAGCTTATCACTGTTTTACGGTGTTGACTCGTTGGCGGCAACCTAACGCTGCATCAACATGCTTAAGCTCCCAACATGCTCTTCGTGGAAGAAGATGGGCATCTGAAGGCCAAACTACGGAGGTAGATAAAAAGATTATTAATGGATCTCGGAGTGGAGGAAAATCCGAAGGTGACGAGAAAACTGTCCTGGTTTATTAGAGTCCGTACTCACGATTTATTCGGAACGGAAAACTTCTGGGTCACTCGACTTTCTTAATCTCAGTAGGTTATATCCTGAGATCCTATGATATGGATATCATCGTGGACGGTGCACTGGCATCATTGGTGGTATTATTTCCTGCTTTTTTTAATGCTCTATATAATTGGCTCGTTTCACAAACTCCAGTGACAGCCGGGAAAGACTATCAAGTTTTCTCATATTCAATCACCATAAACCAATGGGCGGCCTTTGGTGACATTTAAAGCTCATGGAAGATCCTACTTTGTGGATCCAGCACATTGTCCCGAGGCACTTATGGCTAGACTTACCCAACAGAAGAAGAAATGAAATGAACTGATGAATGAGTGTTACTATTGGCTGTAGTGTTTTGTTGTTCGTAGATATATAGCAGTAGTTATGGACATGCATTTCTGTATTTGTGTTGAATCAAAGTTGAATTTACATATGTTAGGTGAATCAGCGCATTAGTTTTATCTTAACTAATCTGATATCAGATCTGTAAGTGATTTCCGTGAGTTACATAAGTCATTTCCATGAGTTACATTGATGAGAATGTGACCTTTTTCCCTTTGAAAGTGTATATCTAGAATTTAAGAACACCAATAGCCATGGCTATTCTTATTAACAAAAAAACATAGGTATATGAGATAGGCTTTAAGGAATTGTAGAGGCATGAAAAGAGTAGGAAGAGGAAGGATATGTTGAGGAGAATAGTGAGTTTTTTTCTTGGTTGAGGTTTGGAGTTGGAGATGAAAGCTGCCATTTAGAGAGCAAGTTCTTAATTGAGGATATGTTTATGGTGTGAATATGTTGATGATTGAAAAGCTGTTTCCATGTGATATATTGAACTTGTGTTGTGGAATTTGATGTGTGTTGGTTGAGGTTAGAAGAGCATGGGCTGTGCTAAAAAGAATGGGAAGTATAACAAGAAGACAGAAAAAAAAAGGTTCAATTGCCATCGACTCTGATGTCACTGAGCATTCTTGCATGGTTGAAGATGGAGATAGGCTTTAAGGAATAGAAAGAGTAGGAAGAGGAAGGATATGTAGAGGAGAATAGTGAGTTTTTTTCTTGGTTGAGGTTTGGAGTTGGAGATGAAAGCTGCCATTTAGAGAGCAAGTTCTTGAGGATATGTTAATGGTGTGAATATGTTGATGATTGAAAAGCTGTTTCCATGTGATATATTAAACTTGTGTTGTGGAGTTTGATGTGTGTTGGTTGAGGTTAGAAGAGCATGGGCTGTACTAAAAAGAATGGGAAGTATAACAAGAAGACAGAAAAAAAAAATTCCAATTCTAAGAGTTCTTGTAGTACTATCACTGGAAATATCAGTGGTTTTCAAAAAAATATTTTTGATGCACTAAGAATTGGTTTATATGGGAGAAGGATTACATTTGGAATGTGATTTGAATTGTTTCCTTAATCTTTTAATTAGGGAAAAAAGTTTCCGATGTTACTTTAGATAACTTTATCTAATGTTCATCGAAACGACGTCGTTTTGGAGTTGAAAAATTAAAAAATTAGAGTGATAAAGACTATTATAACCCTGAAATAAATTAAAATTACAAAAATACCATGATATCCGTTCCAAAACGACGTCGTTTTGATGAACATTAGATAAAGTTATCTAAAGTAACATTAGAAAAAACAAACCCAATTAATTATTAGGCTGATTTGATTTTAATTATTTTCTTATTTTAGATGTGTTTAATGATTATTTATTAATTTGTAATAAGCTATAAAACTTTCCTTTTTAGGCATATTTTAATTGTGTTTTCGGTTTTGTGTTTTTTTTTACACCTTATAAAAGGGGTTCTATTTATAAGACGTTAAATTTTGTTATTTTTTTTTTTGGTGTATTCAATTTTGTTATTTTAATAATATAAAATCCTAATTTCTTATTTAGGCACTTTTTCATGTAAGTTGGGGATCATATTTTATGTATAGATAGTAGTGCATTAGAAAGCAAAGCATAGTGTGTGACGCCATTGCCATGTGCGGAATAAGTAAAGATATAGTTTTCACTTGTAGATATTTAGGGGACTTTATGTACATTAACCGTTTGTTTGTTGCAGTCTTGCAGATATGATAAATAAATATACTTCAGAGTTCACTCGCTCCACTTTTAATGATATTAACCATCTCAAAAATATGTTTTATAATAAATTATTTTTGTTAAACCTCATCTTTAATATTTTTTAATCAGATTATCAACTTGGAGCGTATGGTTTAAAACTTCATTAATTTAAAAATACAATTATAAATCAATTCTTTATACTAGATAATCAACTACTCTAAGCTGATAATATTGAACAAAATAGAGGAGGGGTAAATTTGTCCGAAATTTCTTTCAAAATTTTCCCACCCACCATCATTTCTCAAATACCATCTATATTTGGATGTTTACGTGTAATGTGAAATCTTGATGCAAAAATATTTCTTAGGATAATTTTATATTTCTTTGTACCAAACAAAGAAATATCAGATAGCCACTATCATTTTTCTAGAGAAAAAATATTTGCACACCTACCAAACACCACGTAAAGGAAACGTAAGCATAACCCCAACTGTTTAACGTATGAAAAAAAGAAAGATATTATCACCAAAAAATGAAAAAGAGATATATGGATAAAATAAGAATAAATAAAACGGGGAGTTAATAATAATAATAATAATAAAGGGCATAAATCTAGTGCCATATATGAATAAGGACCAATCACCCAAAAATAAAAATAATAAGGACCGAATGATGTTTCTTTTCTTTGTGGAAAAAATAGTGCTAAAGCTTACAGAACTAAAATTTTCCAAATATAAACAATTTTTAGCTTTAGGTATCACTTTTAAACTGCTGATGCAAGTCCCTGATAAAGTATCAAACTGCAAACCTTAAAGGAAAAAAAAAAGTAATAAAAAAGTAGGCTGAAGCTCATATATTCTATGAAGTTATAACGATAAACTGTGGTGGCCTATTTATTTCAGCCATTCACAAACTTAAAGAGGCACTGTCATTCAGCCAAAATGTAAGGAGATCGAGTTACATTTATCTTTAATCTAATTAAGCACTTAAGCCTAGTCAACACAGAGTAAGCTCATCCTTCTCCTGCCTTCTCTTAAGCCAGGCAAACAAGTTGCCGTTTGAACCCCCAGAGAACAGTACTCTCGAGCACATTTCAATGTACTCCACGAGTTATCAGGCCATCCCAAAGAGCATAAACTCACGTCAATCTAAAGAAACTGACAGGATTGCTTTCAATATTAAAACAAACTTAGGCACTGTCAGATTCATTTCCTGAATCAATATTCATGGGTTGTGGATTCTTGTAGCCAATAATCTCATCGTTGTAACGTTTTTTATCAGCACGGGCTTTTGCCTCATATGGTTCCTTCTCCTCCGCTGTGCATTCAACAGGAAAAGAAATAGAAAACTTGGTCAAAATACAGGATTCTGACCACGAATGACACTCGGTGGAACTGCATGAAATGAAAAAATTGGCAATCTGTCATACCTGACATCTTTTTCCATTTGTCTCCGAGTACTCTTCCCACATCCGTAAATGAAATTCCGGGATTACTTTTCTTTAGATTCTGTCATATATTAAAAAAATAAAAGGACTTTAGGAGATAATAAGTAACGAGAACTCAGCTTATATAACCCCCCTAGTTAACAAGTCAACCTGATAAGGTAGATGGCCATAAGCAATTTTGCTAAAGGTCAACTTTAGCCAAATTGAGTTCAGAGCATGAGTCCAGACATATTGGAATAGGACCTTCTGAGGCTCACTTGCATTAATTACAGGTTTGATGGATAATCTCAGATTATCTAGAACCCGGCATTGTAAAGAATTTCTTTACAAACCCAACCTGAGAAACTTGACTTTCTCCCCCAAAATATCTAGTAGAGCAAAATTAAGTATACAAACCTACTTGAACTGCCAATTGTAACCCCAAACTCAGAAAGGCTATAATTAATTTTTTGCAGAAAGGAAGTAAATTCTGCCACCCGCAACCCACACACCCAAATCCAAAACCACCTAGCCAATATGTATGGACATGGAACACACCTCTCTTTCCATTTGAGAAAAGAACATGAAACCAGACATTGCTCTCTTGGGTGCATTCGGGTCCTTTTTCTTCTTCTGTTTTTTCTTTTTGCCATCTTCATCAGCACTTTTTGATCTCTTCTTAGAAGTAGATGCTTTAGAAGACAGATCCTTCTTTGATTCCTTTTTGGCAGGCTTCTGAAAAATGGTTATCGTTAAGGTGTCAGACACACCAAAGTCCAAAGATGTAAAGAGTAGAGGTGAGGTATCACAAGATAACAAAAAAAATAAAAACAAATCACTTGCCTCTTTCTCATCGCCAATATCACTGGCATCAGAATCATCTGCCCCAGAATCATCAGTAGGAGAACCTTCATCATCCTTATCAGCAACAAAATCTTCGTCCTGCAAACATTTACCACTGAGTAAAATATATATAGAAGCAAACCAAGTCTGGAAAAACCCTGTCACAGGGAGCCCCCCAAAAGAAAAAAAGCCAAAGTGGGATAACCTACACATGGACTGAAGAGCCATATGCACAGGAGCATAGAAAAAATGCACACAAATAGAACACTACCCAAAACAACACAAGAAAGATAAAAGCATAGATGCATAAACAGGAGAAAGGTGGACTACATAATTACAGAAATGTAAGTCTATGAATTGCAAAAACTGAAACGTAAGCAGACTTCCAAACTCTATGTTTTTTCGTGCCTAAATATTTTCAGACGCCCATGGATATAAATAAACATTGTTTCCTCATGTACCGAAATGAGAACACAAATTTACATCATGCACTCATGAACTAAGATAAGGATAAAAATGATAAAAAAGACAGGTTTAGACACCTCCTCGTCGCTTTCATCTCCACCAGCTTCATTTTTTATGCGCTCAAGATGGGGATCAACAGCATCATCATCATCATTCTCAAGAACCTTAGCCATACCAACAGGGGCTTGGGCATCTCCTAAGTTCATAATTTTCAAGCCCTTTGAACTGCATGTGCAAGCCAAGAATGAAATGTTTATATAACAAACAATTAGTTTTGCGTAGAATTTGGCATTGAGCTAACGATTACCTGATAAATCCATACAAATTGTGGTATTCATTTCTTTGAATATTACGGAAGAGATGTTCTTGCTCAGATTTTAGTCTGATAAGAAGGTCAAAATAATGCATATTTGAACCACCAGCAGCATGCCGCTCAAATTCCACATAGTCAATCTAGTAGGAAAGGATAAAACAATCAAAACCTCCAATGTATAATAGCATATGCATGTTTGAACCAGTGATAGATATCTGGTCATCTGTAAGCACAATTGGATTTTACCTCTTCATGAAGAATAAGAGTGGGAGGTTTAGGTAGAAAGAAGAAGCTCTTCTCAAGGGGATACAAAATTCCATCTTCAGCTTTCAAAGACGATTTCACTGCATAACCATCTTGACAACTCCTAAATTTTCCAGGCTTGGTAACTTTCGCACCAGACAAGCCACGCAATATTGTGGTGAACACTTCATGGATGAGCCCCTGATTATTGAATTGGAAGTGAAAAATATCAACTATAGCATCACGTGGAATGCATGACCCACAGTAACCAAATTCTTGCATCACTCAATCAACAAAAATATGCAAAATGCTTTTTCATTTTCACAAGCAGCCTTTGAGGAGCGGTATCTCATGGGTAACACATCAATTATTCACAGTTTAGGCAATACCTTATAAGAAAGCTCCAACTTGTCCTTGTACTTAGTGTTATAAAGATCTTCACCCATTGCTAATTCACTTTGAACTACAAAATCGGTTTCAAACTATACACAAAAGAGAAAATACAAATGTAGGTCAGAAACATGCCAAACACATATCACCTAAATTGGTAAACCATGAAACAGTGACCAATTACCTGCATCACAATATGAGGGTACAAAGTTTGCCCTTTCCGAATAGGAGGATCAAGACTAATAATGACGAAGGTATGTGGCTGATTAGACTACAGATACAGAACAGCCAATTGACAGGAGAAGTTGTCAGTATACTTAACAAGTGCAGAGAAAGGCATCAGTTTTAAGACATGGTTGGCTGGTTGCACTACATCACTTAATATGAAAACAAATATCAGTGAAATGAAGACAAAGGATTGGGAAATAAACCTTAGGAAGTAAAAATAGGCGAACCACACTGCTATACTGGATTTTGAAATCATTAGCCTGTCCTTGAAGCCGCAAGAATGACAGGTGTAGCTCAACATTGTATCGACCCCTGCACAAAATTTTAAATTTCTATTAGTAGACATCGATCTTTTTCATAGAAAGATGCAAATGCAAGCAGCAGTATAAAAGACAATGATAAGAAGCCAAAAATACGTGAATGATACATGCATGCACAGATCTGTCAAGGCATTTAAAGACATTACCTTGGTGTAAGGATTGCAATTGAATCAAATGTAACAACAGCATCTTCACCTCCAGCACCAACATCAGCCATAGACATTATTTTGTCACGGAAGACCTGATAAAAAAGATTGTGAATATGTCAGTTAACCTATAAGTTATTATAACATGAGATTTTCTTAAAGACATGAACAAACTCACCTGAGCAGGAGGACGATTTTCATCACCAACAAACTGGGTATTGGAATTTGGTATGTGGAAACTTATCTCCATCAATGAATCTTTCTGAGATCATAACAAAAACAATATTAGACCATAAAAAATGCACCCCCAAATTGAAACTATCTGCAATACTGTTCAAGCCCAAGCCCGGAGAGGAAAATTTTCTTGCAAGTAGCTGCAAGCTATTCTAAACTGTGAATTCATTAAAACTTATGACATATGTGTGCGCAATACTGTTCAATTCCAAGCTTGGATGAGGAAGATTTTCTTGCAAGTAGCTGCAAGTTATTCTAAACTGCATGGATTCGTTAAAACTTACAAGGCTGTATATGTGTATATGTATATAGATATACCTCATTAGCTCCAGTTGTGTCATCCACATGAAACTCCAGGATCACATCATTTTTCCCTTGAAGTTGTGTTTGAGAGACGTCCGCTAAAGACACTTCAAAAGCTTGCTTCGAACCAACCATGAAAGCAAGCATATTCCCTGAAATGGAAATAGAAGCATAAGAACATCCACTTGTATTATAACTGTACATAAGCAGTCAAGTCCATCCTATCAAATAAGCTCCACAATAAAGAGAAAGAATGCATTTGATTGCAAAAGAAGAAAGCAAGAATGAGATGAAGATCCTCTTTGAGAAGCACACCCTACCCCCAACCCCCCCCATCCCCCAAAATAAAAAATTTACTCTTTTCTGTAAAGAACCTTGGGATACTAAAGCTCTAATACCAGGTAAAGAACCTTGGGATACACCACCCCAAAAGCTTAAGCTATTGGGTGAGGTTACATTAATGATTTTATATATCTCAACACGCCCCCTCACACGAGAGCCCACTAGGCTTGAAGGGTGGACAATACACAGGCCCACCTACCTGTGCGAACAAAGAAATTCCACTTGAAAGAAAGTGGGGGGCGGCGAGGATCGAACCTGGGACACGAGGCTTTGATACCATGTAAAGAACCTTGGGATACTAAAGCTCTGATACCATGTAAAGAACATTGGGATACACCACCCAAAAAGCTAGCTCAAAGGGTGGGAGTGCCCAATGTCTTATAAACTCCACATTAGTTTCTCTTCAACCAATGTGGGACTATATATCTCAACATTTTCTATCTTAACAACTTTTTCATTTAACGGTGTATAGCAAGCAAGGATGTTCTGGAAGTATAGCAAGTAGGGATGACAAAGAGGGATGTCTGAGATATATGCAATGCATCATGTGGAGAAAATCAATTACAACACATAAGTCAGTTCATGTAAATATCGCCAACCATTTAGATCAACTTCTCCCCAATTACGCCCACTAACGGAAAGCTGCTTCTCCTCTACTGTTATTCCACAGGTGTTTTGGAAAAAACTGGTCAAACTTGCAACATCCTGCAAAAGTATAAAAGAACAACATAAGAAACAAAATTTCATAGCAATTCAAGTCCGAGTCATCAATATTTAGATCTGTCAAAGAGTGTATAACAGGAACAGAAAATAGAAGCCAAACTAAATGTTTGAATTCCTTTTTCTACATCAAGTATATGTAAATCGCATTCGGGACAGGCAGAGAGTAACCTGATCACGGAATCCAGTGAACTTGTAGTACAACCCGTCTTTGATCTGAATGCCAAGTTGATTAGTCCTTGGAACCTTCATCCATGTCACCCCCATTATATCAGATTTATCAACTTCAATTAATTTACCACCCCCCTGTCTCTTCCATACAATTCCTCCTGAATATATTTTCATCTGCCCTGGATTCTGCAACCCCAATTACATGAAAAGAAGCGTCATACATAACAATTGCTAGTTTCAGTCGCCTATTCACAAATTTACAGGGAAATTTATTTATTTCCCCCTTATCATTACCCTTAATTAAAAATTAACAATGAAATTGATAAAATCTTGACATGGAGCAGGTAATGCAACCCTGATCAGGGCCAATGCGTATGGGGCCTTTTCCTAAGGATATTGAGTAAATTGTACACAACACCAAATGAAAATCACTTACAGCGTTCTTACTTGAGTAGGTGCAAAGCTGGAAGGTAGAAAATTTGGAATGAAAATGACTTTGTACATGCCTGGTATAACTTATATTTACCTCATTTTCAGTCATGGTTAAAAATTATTTTCATTCAATTGTCTATTTTCTACCTTCCTAGTTTCCATCTACTCAACAAAGGACACCCTTAGAGTTTTAGAGGGAGATCAAAAACCATCAATCCCCGAATTTCCCGCAGTAGTCACCCAAAACTAAAAATGTCAACATATTTACAAAATAATTAGGTGATCTTCTACAGTAAAATAATAATAATAATAATAATTAGGGTTTCCGAAGAAAAGAAAAATAAAATACAAAACCCTAAGATTCGCTAGCTAACCAACACCTTTCCGGTTTCGCTGATTGACATTTTCAGATCGAATTCGACAAAAAAATTAAAATAAAAAAAATAAAATCACCAGATTAGATAAAAATAAATTAGGGTTTTTCCTTTTTTCAAGAAGGGAAAACAAAAAACAACATCAGCAGAAACTCTCACTGATAAACGTGAAGTGAAATTAAGAGCTCCGATAAATGCAGACATGGTTGGGGCGAAATTAGTAATTAGGGTTTGGAAAAGAGACACAAAATGAAGCTTTGAGCAATGGCATAGAAATCAAAATTAGAGAAAAAATCGTAAAGAGAGAGAGAGAGAGAGCTTACGGTGCCTCCGCGACCTCCGAGGGTGATGTTGTTGAAGAGATGACCGTCCGTCATGGCTCACAAACGATGAGAGGAACAAGGTTGTGTGTGTGTCTCTCTCTGCATGCACAAAGACAAGCTTACCATTACACACACTACACAGGGTGAAGGGGCGTTTTATAGAGTGTAAATGGGTTGGCCTGGGCTTGCCTACGTCAAAAAAAATTCAGCCTATCTGACATACTGACCTATTAAAGACTTTATTTGTAGGCCAAGCTCGGCCCATTTTCAAAAATAAGAAAGCCTAACATGGCCTACAGGCCTTGTAGGCCTCCCACTATATATACTAAGCAAAAAAAAATAATTGTATAGAGCAAAGAAAGCTCCATTCATGCATGCACTAATACTTCTCATAAGAAAAAAAATGACAAACAAGAAAGAGTCAACATACTACCTCAGCTCTAGAATGTATATCATAGAGGAATAGAGTCAAAGAAATGGGAAAAATAAGAAAAATACAATTACTGAATGCTGAAATAAAGTCTACAAGAGAATGTCATTCATCTAAAAATCTTTAAACCACCATCAAGACAAGGGAAAGAAGAGTATTATTGAAAGATTTTCATCAGCAACATCATAATCCAGCAAGGTACCCATTGCTCTATGGTATTAAGCTGCAACAGCATGTAAAATTTGGAGACATTAGACAAGTTTTCCTTTCATAGAATAAAATAGCACAAAAAGTAAGAGATATTAGTATTTGGTACTTTGTGTCTTTGCCACATAAAATAAATATTATTTTATTATTTTATTTTAATAAATTAAATAGGCCAGCCTACAAGGCTGTAGGCCGGGCTTGACAAAATTGGCCTACGGCCTATTTATTAAAAAAGCTTTTTTATAAGCCTAAGCATATTCTATTTTTCTGAAAGGCCGGGCCTGGGCTGGGCTCAATGTAGGCCGGGTCGTAGGCTGGGCTGGGCCAGCTGGCCCATTTACACCCCTAGGCATTTATATATGTTTGAACCGGAGTGGCGCCACTAAACCGCCTCTAGAGGCAAATGTTAAAATAATTACAAATTATCGATCATAACTTGTTGGTTGAAGAAACTAATCATAAAATTATTTACTAATATTTGTTTTTAAAATATTTCATAAAAAAAAAATTATACTTTATTGGTTCTATTAGTCAATTCAAAATAGTTAAACTTGAACTAGAAATCTTAATAATTTGTTGTCTAGATTTTAAAAACTTAAATTAAAACGAAAGTTAATTTGTTTTTGTCTAAACAAATATAATTTTTTTTATTAAAAGATATTAGGAAAACATAAAAGATACAGAAAATTAGGAAAACAGAAAAGGTACTGAATATTCTTTATTCGTATATATGAAACAGTACAAAAGATGGTGTTATATATACACCTGTGAGGAAGGATCTAGATCCTAACAGAAATGGGAAAAGTAACAAAATCAGGAAAAAATAACAAACTCTACAAAAGAGTAAAAACAAACTTTTTACAACAGAATTCCTTTTCCTCAATTTACAATTGTACCCTACAATTCTAATGCTTTCCCTCAAGGTGGGAAGTAGATATTTATAATTCCCATCTTGACAAGAGGTTGAGTAAAGTGTGCTGATAGAGGCTTTGTCAGCAAGTCTGCTAATTGATTATGTGACCCAATGTGCAATGGTTTCACTTCACCTTTGAGAACCTTTTCCCTACCCAAATGACAATCAATCTCTATATGCTTTGTTTTTTCATGAAACACTGAATTTTCTGCAATATGAATGGCTGCCTGGTTATCACAAAACAATAAAGTTGAACCATCATTCTTTATGCATAAATCACGTAACAAAGACTTTATTCAAACCAATTCACAACAAACATTAGCCATCGCCCTATATTCTGCCTCTGCAGAGGATCTTGACACAGTATTCTGTTTCTTTGACTTCCATGACACAAGTGATTCTCCAACAAAACCACAAAAACCAGTAATTAACCTTCTTGTATCTACACATGATGCCCAATCAGAATCTGAAAAAGCTTTCAATTTCACACTGTTATTTGCTGCATAAAATAAACCTTGACCAACAGTCCCTTTAATATATTGAAGCAATCTATATGTAGCCTGTATATGAGGTTCCCTAGGATGAGCAATAAATTGACTTAATTTATTTACTGCATAGGACAAATCTGGTCTAGTAATGTTCAGGTAAAGCAGTCTACCAATTAATCTCCTATAAGAAGTAGGGTCATCAAGTAACTTTCCTTCTTCTAAGGATAATTTCACACTCGGTTCTATAGGACAAGTTTTTGGTTTACATCCCAAAAAACCAGAAACTGCCAAAATCTGAAGAGCATCCCTCTTTGACTTAAGGCAATACCTTTTTTACTACGGGCTACTTCAATACCAAGAAAATACTTCAGATCTCCAAGGTCTTTAAGCTTGAAATGCTTATTCAAGAAAATTTTCAGATCAATAACTCTTGAAGAGTCATCACTGGCCACAATTATGTCATCAACATATACCAAAAGAGCTAAAAAAAAAATTTCCCTCAATTTTGATAAAAAGAGAACAGTCTGCACCTGATTGTTTGAAGCCAGCAGCTATTAAGACAGAAGAAAACTTGAGGAACCATTGTCTAGATGCCTATTTTAAACCATATAAGGATTTCTGTAATTTGCAAACAAGGTTAGTAGGTAAACACTCCCCCTCACGGTGATAGCCAGGAAGAGGAAGCATGTAAACTTCCTCAGATAAGTCACCGTGCAAAAAAGCATTATTGATATCTAAATGAATCAAGGACCAACCAGAAACAGAGGCCAATGCCAACAAGATGCGGACTGAACTAATTTTAGCAACCGGGGAAAAGGTGTCAAAGTAATCAATACCCTCTTGTTGAGAAAAACCTTGAGCAACCAATCTTGCCTTATACCTTTCTAAAGAACCATCAGAATTCAGTTTACATTTGTACACCCATTTACAGCCTATAAGACGCTTACCAGGAGGAAGGGGTACCAAGGACCAAGTCCCATTGGACTCCAATGCATCCAATTCCAGCTTCATTGCCTGCTGCCAGCGGGGGTCTTTGGAGGCTTCATAGAAAGAGGAAGGCTCAATGTGACAAGAAGCTGAATTAATGAAGGCCTTGAAGGAAGAGGATAAATGAGTATATGACAAAACAGAGGATAGAGGATAGAGGCAGGTTGTACAACTAGAACATATAAAATCTTGCAAGTGGGGGGGAGGTCTGGTTTGACGGGTAGGCCTAGAAGAAGAGATAAGATATTGAGTGGGAAGGATAGACTCAGAAAAAATTGAAGAATTGGGAGAAAGCTGAGTAAAAAAAGGAAAAATAGTTTCATGAAAAACAATGTCACGGGTAATAAGAATTCGGTTAATAGTGAGATCAAGGACTTTATATGCCTTGTAGCCAGGGGGTAGCCAAGAAAAACAACAGGTAGAGCCCTTGGAGAAAACTTGTGCCTATCACGCGGTAAAGGGGATGCAAAACAGAGGCAGCCAAAAGATCGAAAATGAGAATATGAAGGAGGCTTGCCATGTAGAATCTGAAAAGGGGAAACATCCTTGAGTAGGGGTGAAGGAAGACGATTGATAAGGTAAACAACAGTATGCACACAATCAATCCAATAAGCCAAAGGAATATTTGATTGAAAAAGAAGAGAACGAGCAACATTTAGAATATGCTGGTGTTTACGCTCAACAACAGAATTTTGTTGGGGTCGATCAACACAAGAATGATAAGAGACAATGCCTTTGGAACGAAAAAAAGTTGTGAAATTAAATTCTGGTGCATTGTCTGAGCGAACAGATTTTATTTTGACATTAAATTGGGTTAAAATTAAGGTATAAAATTCTGGAACAATGGTTTGAACTTCTGATTTATAGCGCAAAAAATAAATCCATGTGAAACGACTATAGTCATCAACTATAGTCAGGAAATAACGAAAACCTTCTATGGAGGTGGTAGAAAAAGGACCCCAAACATCCAAATGCAATAAATCAAAAGGAGAAGGAGACAAATTGTTATTGGAATTAAAAGGTAAACGCCTCTGTTTAGAGAAAGGACAAATAGTACAAGAGGAATGAGTAAAATCAGATACACCATTTAAATCTAAAAAATTCTTCAAAACAGCCAAACGAGATGAAGAAGGATGACCAAGACGAACATGTCAAAGAGGTGAAGCAGAATCCATGACACGATGTGAAGCAACAGAAGGGGATGAATCTTGAAGAACATAGAGATTGCCAAGACGTTTAGCAGTCCCAATCATTTTCGCCCTGGAAGGATCCTGTATAAAACACAAAGAAGAAGAAAAAGTGATAGCGACGACCAAAGCAGAGGTAAGGGCACTAACTGATAAAAGGTTGTAATGAAATTGAGGAACATAAAGAACGGGAAAAAGGGTGAAATGGCGAAATGAAACAGAACCAATACGACCAATAGTAACAGAAGAACCATCAGGCAGTGAAAGAGAAAAGGATGAAACCGGAGAAGAGGAAATAAAAAATCAAGGGAACAACAAACATGGTGAGTCGCACCAGTATCTAAAATCCAAGAATTAGAAGAGAGGGACGAAGGAGAGTTACCTGAAACGTGTGCAACCGATGGAACCGAGGAAGGCGAAGATTCATTTTCTCCAGGGCTCGTGGAAGAGGATGGAAATTGTGTAGAGATTAGGGCACATAATTGGGAAAATTGTTCTGGTGTGAAAGAAGATGTAAATGGGCTGGGTTGGGTAGAAAGCCCATCAGGGTGAACAGAGGCAGCAGATAGTTGGGCTGGGTTGGAGGAATTTTTAAAACGGGCCTTATATCCTGGTGTGTACCCATGTAACTTGAAGCATTTTTCAACAGTGTGTCCTTGTTGAGTACAGTGCGTGCAGAACGGCCGATCCCAACGGGGCCGTGGTGAAGCAGCAGCGTTGATTGCCGGAGAAACCTGAAGATCCGGAGGAGGAAGAAGACCATGCTGAATGGAACGCTGGCGTTCTTCCTGAATAACAAGGGAAAATACCTGAGTCAAAGGAGGAAAAGGATCCATGAGGAGGACTTGAGCTCGTGTGGAAGAGAAAGATTCATTGAGTCACATGAGTAACTGGAGGGATGAATCTTGCTCATGGTACTGATACCAAGTCCTGAGACCACCACATTGACAAACAGGGACTGGCTGAAATTCACAGAGCTCATCCCAAAATGTTTTAAGACGTGTGTAATAGGCAGTAACAGTAAGAGAACCTTGTTGAAGGGCAGCAATCTGAGACTTCAATTGGAAGATGCGAGGAGCATTACCTTGCTGGAAGCGATCACGGAGGTCATTCCAAATATCATGAGCCGTAGGAATATATATCAGACTATCAACAATTTCACGAGACACAGCGTTGAGAATCCAAGAACAGACCATACTATTGCAACGAACCCAAATACAATAAAGAAGATCATCAGGATTGGGTTGAGGAAGAGAGCCATCAACAAATTGAAATTTGTTTTTAGCTGTGAGGGCCATGGTCATGGCACGATGCCAGGTGTGGTAATTTGGTCCAGACAAAGTATCGGTAACAAGAATGAGACCAAGGAGATCGACACTATGTAAAAAATAAGGACTAGAAGAATCCTCCATCTGTGAAGAGGAAGAGTTGCCAGCATAGGGCTTAGGTGGTTGCTGGCCCTTGGCCATGGAGGGAGGCAAGGGGCAAACAGAAGGTTAAGCTCTTAATACCATATTAGGAAAACAGAAAAGATACATAAATATTAGGAAAACAGAAAAGGTACTGAATATTCTTCATTCGTATATATGAAACAGTACAAAAGATGGTGTTATATATACACCTGTGAGGAAGGATCTAGATCCTAACAGAAATGGGAAAAGTACCAAAATCAGGAAAAATAACAAACTCTGCAAAAGAGCAAAAACAAACTTTTTACAATAGAATTCCTATTCCTCAATTTACAATTGTACCCTACAATTCTAACAAAAGAGATGTTAACATGGATGTGTGTTTATAACAACATGAACCATTGTGTGGAGAACCTGGAGCAACTGAAACGTTGGAAGAGTGTGCAAACAACATATTTGAGTCTGCAAGAATTTCAGACACATGTGCATGAATCTTAGAATTAGCAATTTGTCTTATTCCGACAAGACATGACCCGACTCATGGAACCACAAATGCAACACATAAAATTGTCGGTATTTTAGAAGCAAGCCAAAATCGAGTTAGGATGTCATCCGCAAATCAGGAACGCGCACAACAATTAAAAATAATTATGTTGCGAAGCGAGAAACATGTCGAAGCATTAAGTGCTTGCTCCAAGAATGGATCGACGAGAATGAAGAAATTCCAACCATCAAAATTCAAATCGTGTTTCGTGGATATATGTTGAAATGAGTTGCTCAATAACCAAAAAAGGTGTTCATGAATAACTTCACAGTGTTACCTCCGAAAGCATGGGATCAGTCTCCAATTAGCATATCTATAATATTGACCTCATCTAGGGATTTGAATATATGCATTTAGCGCACAAATGATTTCCTTATGCAATGACTATTTTCAAAATTGGTTTTGATGCTGGTGTTATGTCTGGGATGTCCAATTAAGAGTTTGGAAGAACTTTTAATGATGACAATTCTCTCAATAGGTTCCAAGTGAGGCAACCCATGTAACTCCGCTCGATCTTACCCTACGCACGTTGCAAACACAATGATTCATCTTTGATCTTTGCGAAGGCATACCTCAACCTTAAGGACAGGGTTGTTTTGAAAGGCAATGAAATGTAGCAATCAAGATTCATCATTATCCCCTTATCGTAGTTGCGTGTTATTATATTAGTTTATCTTTATTTTAGTTATTGAAATTATCTTATTAGTAGTTATCTTATGAGAGTTATTAGAAGCTCATTGAGCACATAAAAAAAAGATAAAAAAAATAATTTAAGTCTCTCCCTTAATGTCTCAATATCTTCCTCTTAATTTTCTTCCCCTAACTTCTTTATGGGTGATTTCCCTCTATCTTTGTAATTATATTCCAAACACCCTATCTCCTCTATTATCTCTCTCTAAAAACATGACAATTACTCTAACATTCAAAAGTGAAGTCCAATTGTTTTTTTAGCTTTAAACCTATAAGGGGCTAAAAAGTCACACATTATAAGAATCTTTTTTAGTTGTCCTATCCTATTTTTAAGTCATTTTTAACTAGTTTTACAATTGTTTTTTTTACTATTTTTAAGTTTATTGTATGTCGTTTACCAATGCAGTAGTTCATATTTCAATGTCGAAGTCTTGTACTTTAACTTCAAATCATGTGTTATTGCTTCTTTGAAGTCAATTAATGCAATTTCAACTTAAAGTGTATTTTATTAAAAGTAAATTGTTAAGGACTTTCTTATTTCAAGAATCTCCACCAAAAAGCATAATTGCTTCTTTATAAAAATTTGATAGGGAGAGTTTTTCCGCCCATATGGTCCTACCAAGCTCAAATCGAATTAGTCGATTATTCTATGTATAGATAGAAAATATAAAAAAAAAATCATCTGGCAAAGTACATCCATCTTTTTGGAACAAAAGGGGAAATATGGAAAATATGCTCCATTTGCATAGTTACCTAGCTTTTTCCACATCAAATGTTTGATATGTACAATAAGAACCTAGATTCTAGACTCCTAAAATATCGTGTTTTTGCAATTATCCAACATTTTGAGCAGAAGCACTTACTTTTATGTTATTGCTTTTCTTTGTGTAGCCGTAAGTTTTGATGGTTCTCAAAAATTGAGATCTATTCAATTGTTTATGTGATCCTTATTTCCATTTTTTACTGTTAAGTTTTTGTGTTTTATTCCAAGTTTGTTCCCTGAAGCAATTTATTGATAAATTGGGTTGGAGCAATCATTAAGTGTGGGATTAGTGTAGTACTGGGAGCATTTTAGCTTGATTCTATTTTCATGAGCTTAATGGGTTAATTTGCTCTTTGGAGGTAACCTAAGGCTCAATTAAAGAAGACTCAAGTCATCAATGAAGGAAGCTTGGAAGAAAAGGAAGCAGAAAAAGACAAAAGAGACAAAAGCATGCAACAACGTCCTTTGAGCAGAAAGCGGCCAACCAGAAGCTTCCACGTCAGCAATAGCAGGGAAGAATGTCTGCAGTGCCTCAACAATGCGAATTTTAGAGAAAATATTGCAAAAGGAAGGGGACTATAGTAGTAAATACGGCTGATCTGGCAAGGAATAGTGCTTTGATTGGAGAGGATTTGAGGAATGTTGAACCATTGATCAAATGGACGAATGAGATCAACCCATAAGGAGTAAGCACCTATGAAAAAGGAAAGGAACCTTCATTGCAGGATATTATCTTCATCTTCAACCTCTGGACTCACCATTATCGTTCTTAGCTTAGTTTTTTGTAATTTTCTGTTTTAAGTTTTATCATGCTCCTAAGCATGAGCTAAGTTACTCTATTAGGCTAGGGTGAGATAAAATTAGCCCTCTCTGTCTTAGATTGAACTTATGATGTAATTTTCTCTTCTTTAATGAATTATGATTGTTTCTAGGTTTAATCGATCTGTTGTTGTGAACTCTTTGTCTGCTAACGACATTGAAGACCAAAACCTTGATTGTAACCTCTTTCAAAGTAGTGTAGAGCACCAACAGAAACCTTAAGGTGTTTGTTCTAAGATAAAGAAGCACCCAAAAGGAGGAACACAATTATACGTAAATTATTTTGATTAGCAATCCCTTCAGCCTACCTTTGGGAAAACATGACAACATAATCTCCCTTGAGTTTCAATGCAAAGGACTTTTTAAGTAGTTTGGTGGAAAAAACTTTTTGCTCCAAACTGCTTTAGTGTTAAACTTGGAGACAGAGTAATTTGCCTCCATAGCCAGGACATTCGCTGGGAGCATAATTTTTTATTAAGAGTGGATAAGATATTAGAAACTACCAAGAGGGTGAAAATATCGAACCATAACCTATGCCTTTGTTTTATTATTGAATCAACATTAATTCTCTCTTTTGATACTTTACAAAAATAACAAAGAATTCAAGGTTTATTTTCCATCTTCCTTTTGCTCTCTGTTTTCGTTACTAGTCTTATTGTCACGGATTTTCAACTAGAGAGCATAAAGGTGTTAGAAGGACCTAACTATTACAGAGAAAAAAGAAACGAAATTCGTATTATTTCATACGTGAACAATGTTGTAATCTTTTCTTTATTATATACGTAAGATATGAGCATTAGTAATTATTTTCCTAATAAAACAAAAAGGCCACTATGTTCTCAAATTTGGCGAATATGTTGCCATTTTCTACCATTTAAAACATCGTAAAAGGAGTTTAAATATTTACATATTCTGTAATTTATTAATAGATGTATTGCCAACGTTGACATAAGTTGTGTCACCTACCTTAGGATTCATCATAAAAGAACACAAAGGATCTTGAGTATTCATATTCTTAAAAAATTAAAGGAAATGTTTTTTATTAAGAAAAATGTTTCGTTGTCTTCTCCCTACTGTTCTTACTCACTCTTCTTGATGGATATGAGAGACTAACTTTCATTCGTAAAGACTGAATGAATATACAGTCTTTTAAAAATTTTATGATATATTTTTCAATATTATTTAAGCGATAATTGCTCCATTCATCATCCTATAAGGCAATAACTTCTCCCATCTAGCAATCACATAACTTCACAACTTCCCATACCGTGGGGCAATGTGCTGCCTCCACAAAGCAAGATCTCCCATGAGCTTTAAATGTCACGAAAGGCGACCCATTGGTTACTGGTGATTGAATATCAGAAAACTTGATAGTCTTTGAAATGGGGTGCCAGGACATCCTCTCCACCTTAAAGCTCTTCGAACCCGGCTGCCACTTGAGGTTGTGAACATAAGGGCTACGATCCAGTTACATATAGCAGTAGAAAAAGCATAAAAATAATATCGTGATGCCAGTGCACAGCCCACGATGATATCCATATCATAGGATCTCAAGATATGACCTACTGAGATTAAGAAAGTCGAGTGAAGCAGAAGTTTTCCTTTCCGAATAAATTGTGAGTACGGATCCTGATAAATCAGGACAGTTTCCTCGTCACCTTCGGATTCTCCTCCACTGCGAGGTCCATTAATAATATTTTTATCTACCTCCATAGTTGGGCCTTCAGACGACCATCTTCTTCCAGGAAGATCACGTTGGGAGGAGGATGTAGCGTTAGCTTGCCACCAACGAGTGGAGGAAAATGTTTCTTTGTCTTCTCCCTACTGTTCTTACACACTCTTCTTGATGGATATTGATGGTCCTCAAAAGTTGAGGTCCATTAAGTATATATCACTCCACAAAACCCCTGTTTTGGTCACAAATCACTCTCTTTAACCTTCTTTTTCCATGAAGAGCAATTGTCTTGAAAAGTGGACCAGAGCAATACTTGAAATGGGAATTAGAGTAGGTCTGGAGCAAATTGACATTATCTTTTTCACATATGATTGTTGGGTTGATTTGTTTTGATCAGGAAACCTGAGACCTAACAGAAGGGCCCACACATTAAGGAAAAGAAGAAAGAATACTGCGCAGGAGGGAGCATAAAAGCCTACTACAGTACAAAAACAGTAAAAGGCAACAATCAGGAGCCTTCACGTCAGCCACAGCAAAGAAGGTGGAGGTGTCTCCCTGATTCCGAAATTCTCACCCGAGAAAAAACACCAAAAGCAAGGGGGACCACTGCCATGCAGAGCTGAGCTGGCAGAAAGCAGACCGACTATTGGAGAGGATTTGAAGAAGGCACAGCCCTTGAAGAAGGGACAATGAGGATCTGACAGAAGAACTCTATAAAAGAAAGAATTAACCTTCATGAGAAGGGATCGGGACACCATTCGAGGGCTTGCCATTTATTTTTCCTGATATTTTTCTTTTGTAATGCTCGCTAGGAGCTAACTTCCTCTAAGTAGGTGAGGGTTCCATAGAAGTAATTCCTTTTGTCTTAGGATAACTTTGTAAGGAACACATATTTTATGAATGAATTTTGAGCTGTTCTTTGGTTTAATATGTTGATTCTGTGAAACCCTTTGGGCTGGCAACCTCATCCCGGGACCACTCGGTAGATGAAACACTGACAAGGGCGTGCGGAGTAGTCTTAAGATCTTGGGGTAGTTCAGCTTGAAGAAAGGAGGAAGGAACACCTTGAATGAAGAGCACTGCCATGTGAATCCAGGCTCTTTTGAGAAGGCATCATGGTTTCCTTGCATTTAACCCTAAGTTCTACGGAGTAATGTGGAGAGTAAGGCCTTGCTCTTTTACTTATTTGTGGCAAAACGACGAAAGGAGCAGAATCCATTTTTAAAATATGCTACTAAGCAGGGTTAACCAAAGGGATGAAAATATGGAACCCAAAACACCTACTTAACTCTTTCTAAACTCAATCTCACATCAAACTTTTGTTATAACTTTCTTCACGACAACCAAATTGTGCTTATCTATTGCTGCTTTTATAATCTCTTCACTAATTTCTTTTGAGTTACTTCAATTTGATGCCTTGATATTCGATGACTATGCTAAGTTATTCACTGCTCTCATCTAGTTCAGAATGGTTAACACTGCTTAACTAGCTGGCTAGAGATTGCTCCTTGTGAAGCTTGGTTGAGAATAACTACTTTCCTTTCATTTTTCTAAGAATTAAGTTTCCCTGAACGATTCCTTCTTCACAACTGCTCCCTGAGGACGATAAATCTAGGGCTAACAACACCCAGTATTGCTTGACACGTACGCTTGCATATAGTTGAAGAGGGTTGCTCTCCGTCAGAGTAGATTGCTCCTGTTTGCAATCTCGATTATCACTCTGTATTATTGCTCCTTAAAAATATCCCTGAGCAGCTCTCGGTTCGACCAAGCAATTGGCGCCGTTGCCGGGGATCATTTGGCAAGAAAGGGCGTTTTTAAGGAAACATTGTTGTTTGTGTTTTTGAAATCTTTTTTTGTTTTTATTGTGTTTGACTTCTTCCTATTGTATGAGCACAGAACCTACAGAACTTGGACTGGAAATAGTACATTTTGATCCAGAACCCGAGAGAATCTTCAGAAATAGAAGAAGAGTTCAAAGGTTAAGAAATAATACAATGGAGGAAGTTCTAAATAATGGTGAAAATGGTAACAATGAAAATAATACTCATGAGAATGAAGAAGGACAGAATGGAGGAAGAGGGCCATCGTTGAATGATATGGCTGCTCCCTTCAGAAATGGTCCAGAACGAGGTTATGTTCCTCCTCCTCTAGATGTCCCGAACTTTGAAATCAAACCTGCAATGTTCCAAATGATTATGAATGCTGGTCAATTCCATGGATTGCCGATGGAAGACCCCCACAGTCATTTGTACAACTTTACTGAGATAGTTGATAATTTCAAAGTTCATGGTATCCCAGAGGAAAATATGCGAATGAGGTTGTTTCCATTTTCCCTAGCAGGAAAAGCCAAAGAATGGAGGAGAACATTGTCCCTAAATTCCATCACTAGTTGGGAGCAACTAGCTGAACAGTTTGTCACCCGATTTTTCTCCCAAGCAAAACAAGCCCAAGTGAGGGCTGATATAGCATCTTTCCAAATGTACGATGAAGAAAGTCTTTATGAAGCGTGAGAGCGCTTTAAGGAATTAATATGAATTTGCCCAAATCATGGAGTTTCTGATTGGGGCATTATTCACACGTTTTATCATGGCTTAACCCCACCATTGAAAGCCACTGTTGATGCGACTGCAAGGGGAGATCTTTTGGATTTTACTTATCCGGAAACCTACCGGTTGTTGGAAAAACTTTCAAAAAAACATGTTCAATGACCTTCCACATGGAACAATGCTTCCAAGAAAGCAGGAGTTCTAGAGCTAAGCTCAACTGATGCTCTTTCAGCACAGATGGCTTCGCTCCAGAATACTATAAAAAAATTGGAAGCCCATGGAACAGAAAAAACCAACCGAGCAACTTCTCTTGACTCAATCAAGTCAAAGTTGCTCCATTTGTGGAGGTCCTCATGAATCTGAGGACTGTAACAATTTGGCTGTTGTGTGTTATGCAGATGGTTATGATAATAACAACAGGAGCAATGATAATTATCAAGGGAACAACAACCGGGGATAGAAGAGTCAGAATAATGCTGGAGGTAGTGGAGGAAACTACCAGAACCGACCCCCATATCCCAGGCAGAACCATCAAAACTGGGATAAGGGTGAAGGGAAGTCTCAATCCTTTGAGTCTTTTGTCAAGGAATACATGAAACAGAACAGTGCAGCCATGAAGAGCCTGGAGACCCAACTTGGTCAGTTGGCTGGAGCACTCAAACAGAGACAACCAGGGACAATCCCTAGTGACACAGAAAAACCGTCCCAGGAAAACCAGGAGCGTTGTAATGCTATAAGCTTACGAGATGGAAAAACTCTGCCACCTCCAGATTTAGTGGCACGATCTCGTAAACGTGAACTAGCAAGACAACCTATTGAAGAAGGAGTTGAGGAAGCTACTGACCCTCAACCCCTTGAAGCTCAGACAGAATCAAGGGAGAAGGTCCAGAACGATGATCTCACTGAAGTCACACCAGTTGCCACAACATCTGGAGCAGATGTTGGAGCAATGAAAGACAATGAACCAGTTTCAGTCCCAACTTATGTTCCACCATGCAAAAGGAAAAGTGAACCAATTGAGCCTCCTTTTCCACAGAGGTTAAAATAACAACATGAAGATAGGCAGTTTAGCAAGTTTTTAGACTTGTTGAAACAGCTTCACATAAATGTCCCTCTGGTGGAGGCTCTGGAACAAATGCCTTCGTATGCAAAATTTATGAAGGACATTTTGTCAAAAAAAAGAAGGATTGAGGAATTTGAGACTGTAGCGCTCACTGAAGAATCATGCAAATACCTGACTAAGATTCCTCCCAAACTGAAGGACCTTGGAATATTCACCATCCCGTGTACAGTTGGGAAGAACTACCTTGGTCGAGCACTTTGTGATCTGGGCTCGAGTGTAAATTTAATGCCAGCTTCTATCTTCAAACAGCTTGACATAGGAGCAGCAAGACCAACCACAGTCACTCTTCAGCTTGCAGACCGATCCATAGCCAAGCCAGAAGGAAAAATCGAGAATGTCCTTGTCCAAGTAGACAAGTTCATTCTACCAGCTGACTTCATCATCTTGAATTTTGAAGCAGACCAAGAAGTTCCAATAATTCTGGGCAGACCATTCCTGGCCACTGGTGATGCTGTCATAAACGTCAGAAAAGGCGAACTATCCATGAGTGTAAATGGAGAGAAGGTGAAGTTCAATGTCATGAAAGCAATGAAGTTTGATGAAGATAGCACTGAGGAATGCTCTAGCATTTCAACTCTTGACTTGATCATAAGAGAAGAACAGCAGAAGCAGTTGCAGTCAGAAATAGGCATGAAGGACTTTGACGAATTGGAGGAATACCTTGCGTCCATTAATTCCATTCATACTGGGGACAAGAAAGAAAGGATCTTCGAATCCTTGAACCGATCGGAGCAAGAGCAAAGACCAAATTTTCCCTCAGTAGAGCAATCGCCTACCTTGGAGTTAAAGCCTTTACCTGAACACCTGAAGTATATTTATTTGGGTAAAGAAAACACTCTCCCTGTGATTATTTCTTCTTTACTAACCCATGAACGGGAACTTCAGCTCACACAGAAGCTTAACGACTACAGAGGAGCAATCGGTTGGACCATGGCTGATATAAAGGGAATTAGCCAACAATCTGCATGCATAAAATTTTGCTCCAAGATCCTGACAGCTCATCTGTGGAGCATCAAAGGAGGCTGAACCCCAATATGAAAGAGGTGGTAAGAATGGAAATCATCAAATGGCTTGATGCAGGTATAATCTATCCTATCTCTGACAACAAATGGGTTGCCCCTGTGCAATGTGTTCCAAAAAGGGTGGCATCACTGTAGTTGAAAATGAAAAACATGAATTAATAGCCACCAAAAAGATAACTGGGTGGAGGATTTGTCAAGACTATAGAAAGTTGTTGGGACTTTTGCATTCAGAAGAATGCCATTTGGGCTGTGTAATGCCCCTGCAACTTTTCAAAGATGCATGTTTACTTTATTCACTGATTTAGTAGGAGAAGCAGTAGAGATTTTCATGGATGATTTTTCTGTTATTGGCTGCTCTTTTCCTACTTGTCTTAATAACCTTGAACAGGTATTGGAAAGATGTGTCAAAAGCAATTTAGTGCTGAACTGGGAAATAAAAAGGATCCTGGAAAAGGTGGTGAACCCAGGTAGACAGGATTGGTCCAACAAACCGGATGACTCCCTATGGGCGTATCGAACAGCTTACCGAACGCCTATTGGCTGCTACCCCTACAAATTGGTATTCGGAAAGGCTTGCCATTTGCCTTTGGAACTCCAACACAAAGCATTCTGGGCTATCACTTTGCTGAACATGGACA